TCCCCCACCTTCCAGTACAAATATTAGATACAAGCTTAAAACTTTCAACCCAAGTAGTGAGACAGAGTAATCCAAACTACCGGCATGTAGAAGATATGACAATAATTGATATGATAATTAATTTTGTTTGTATTCAGAAATGTGGTGGATGGCCACTAGGTACAGGGTCTCCTCTACAGTGGCACCTCTTTCATGAGTTTCAGAAGAAACTTGCCTTTTGAAGGATACTTGTCTGTTAATGAGTACGAAGGGGTAAAAACTGTTCTTTCTACTAGCTTGTAGGGTTTCAAGCATAATGAATCATTTAAACTTCTTTCACTGTGTGTGTGTCTGTTGTTTGATCAGCACAACTGCTGTTTAATGGTATTTTAACTGTGACCCAATTCTACTTTTTGGTCTGAAAGCCGGTAAAAACTCATCAATAAGATTTGCTCTTGGCAACCATAGAACTGCAGTTTCAATTGGCTTTTTATGTAAGCTGCTCTGGCACCCTATACTAGTTGAACAAACAGAACCGAAATAAAATACAGTAAAGTTTAAAAAGTGATACTTCACAGGGTTTTCAGATGTGTTCTACATGATTAGTGACAACTACCATATATTTGTAAAAAATACATACCACACTAAGTGAGTCTGAAGAAACTATGGTTTCAATAGTGTACACTAATTAGAAAGGGTAAGGGAAATAATCCATACTCTTTATGCAGTGCGCACACATGAACCCAACACCAAAGACCATAGAATTCTGGTGTCTAAAGGCAGTATCTATGAATTTAAAATAGTCTCCTTGTTTTAGAGGTATTTTTAGTGGAGATACTTCAAGAAAGTTTTAAACCTTTATCTGGGATCTCTAGATATTAAAATAGCCTCTGTTTGCCATCTGAATCCTTCTTGCTTAAACACAGATCTTCCACTTCAGGAATACTGCTCAGCACTGCTGCTTAGTTCTGTGATCAGCAAGACCTTTGTTGGAGGTGTTAATCCTTTTTCACATGAGAGACTGCGAAACGTTCTTTCAGAGAAGTGATATATTGCTTTTTTCACATCAAAGGACTCTAACTTTTCCCCTTCACTGGGACTTGTACAGAAGCAAAAGGAAATCTGGAAATATAATGATCTAATGAATATAGAAGTCAAAACTTCTGTTTTCTTCCAGCCCTCTGTGGAATCAAGAAATCATTCCAGTTCTAAAAAATTTCAGAAAGTAAGTATGGTAGCTACGTACTTTGCTACTATATGATTTTTAGAACTTGGGCTAAGTCAAGCTACTGATAAAACAGGATATCAAAATTCTTTCAAATGTGGTTTGATATTCTGCTTATCACTAAAAAAAACAAGAAAGAAAGAAAAGAAAAGAAAAGAAAAGAAAAGAAAAGAAAAGAAAAGAAAAGAAAAGAAAAGAAAAATATGTTATTTGGAAATGGTCAAAGTCTCATTCTTTCCCAAACAATCCAAAGTATAGAAACATAAAAATGGGAGGCTGCCAAATATCACTTATACTGAACAGGGCATGGCACCTTAAGTCTGCTTAATTCTTGATTTTGGGAGATAGATAAACAAACAAACAAACAAACAAACAAACAAACAAATAAATGTGTTGAAATAATGATTTAGGACCACAACATTTTCCAAAGCTTCTATCTTCAGGGAATATATCTGTCTTGCCTATTGCAGAAACCGTACAGATGCAAAAGATTCCAGGCATTTTCTAACATGTACTCAGTTCATACAGGTAATCAGTGGGGCTGACAGAACTCTGTGTTAACTCACAGGAAGTGCAAACACTTTTCAAAATGTTTTGATGTGTCCCCAGGGGTTGCAAACAGCAAGGAAAGAATAGAAGTTGTGAACAAAATTTCAAAAAGATCTTGAAGACCAGAGAAGAGGAACAAGCTGTACTGAATCTATCCATTAAGGACAACAATCTATTCATTAAGGACAACTTCCTTCAATCTGCAGGAAGATTAAATATTGTTGGCGGAGAAGGGAATAATCCTGCAGACTAGTTTAAAGAGTGAAATATGTTGTCAAAGGATGCTGTGGCAACTCCTGCATTAAGACAAGAATTTGAACATAGAATTGTTAGGAGTGCTTCTGGGACAGGAACTAAGGGTTGGAAATCCCAATTTAGAGAAGTCTTATAAGTGCCATCTCCATGGTTAAAAGATTAATATATTCATAAATTGATATAATCACGCATACAGTTCTAACTCTACTGAAAACACTAAAGATTTTGCAGAGCAGTGGAGAATACTGATAATTTTTATTCATTTTTCAAACAGTGCCTCCAAAACATCCTAATCTCTAGACCTTATTAATATATGCACCAAACAGAATAATATTAAGACAGAGCAGGACCCAAATGGATCTTAAGCTGGCTTGCGTTGCTTATGTCAGAATCAGTGACCCCACTCTCTCACACAAATCACCTTAAACACTATGTACACTTATTTTTTCTTAATAAAGATTCTACGTATCTAAAAAAGAGTACTCTTAAAAATTCAAACTGGTTCTAAATAAGAGATGTAATAGTCCAACTTCATTGAAGTCTTCCCCCCCCCCGATAAATGAAATGTTTTCAATTTTCCTGGATCTCTTTAGATCCTGAAATGACACAAGTCTTAAGCCCACGTTTTTAAAAACATCTAGTATTGTATACCTATAAAACTCTGAAAAAGGTTGCCATAAATTGAATCAGTTTAGCAGCACATAAATGACACATTCATTTATTTGTTTTATATCTCACCTTTCTTCCAAAACTGAGACTCACAGTAGCTCTCACAAAATGTTGATATTAACCAAATTACATTATTAAAACATAATAATATTAAAAGCAATTTTAAAACACTTGACTAGAAAAGTGCAGCACTCACTTATTAAGAGCCTCTTCCACAATGAGCACTCAACTCCTGAAGTTATCTGGAAGCTGAGTCATGGCAACTTGACTTCTTTCTTGTTAGGTTGAAATGTTTCACTGCTCATCCAAGTCGTTTCTTCAGTATGAGGCGAATCCCTGATATATCCTCCATGTTGGTTTCACTTCCCCATGATCTGAATAGGCTCGTGAAAAGGATGTACTCATTTTGGACCGGGAAGATAGGTGGCTTGAGAGAGGGGTCAGGAAGGCCATATATGTGCATATAGAAAATCCCTCACTCAACAGGGCTGGAGGTCTTAGATATTTATCATGCTGCCCTTTCATCCGTCTCCAGAAAGATTAGGACCACACACACCACAAAGACCACTGTTAACGACTGTTAACAACCCATGACAGTGGGTGGAGAAGGACAGCAGAAGTGGGATTATCCCTCATCCCCAGTCCTTTGTCCTTCTAAGGAGCCTATTCAGACCAGGGGGAAGTGAAACCAATGTGGAGGATATATCAGGGATCTCCTACCAACTCTCCTCAGACTGAAGAAGCTACTTGGATGAGTAGCGAAACGTTTCAACCTAACAAGAAACAAGTCCAGTTGCCATGAGTCAACTTCCAGATAGCCACACCTAGATGACTGAGAACCTTTACAGACATCAACTCCCAAAGGTGTGCCTGAATAAAAAGGTATTTGCCTGTTCACAAAGAAGAAAGAGAGAGAGAGAGAGAGAGAGACAGCTTAGGAAGGGTGCTTTATAGCCTGGGAGCAGCCACTGAGAAAAGTGTCTTTGGGAGTATCAGGAGCAAGAAAAGGGCCTCTCACAAAGATCTCAAAGCCCAGGCAACTACTTGTACTCCTACTCTTACTGCCGCTATCATCTCTTTTCTCGTCCAGTGATTTCTTCTCTTTCCTATTTCCCTAACTTAATTTTGGGGTTGGAAGGATAGGCTTGAGTACTAAGGGTGGGGACACAAGTCATGGGACTCACTTTCAAGTCAGACTTAAATCACTCCAGCAACTTGACTTGGATTCAACTTGGTTTTGTTTTTATTTTTTCAATCGTTTAGACTCCACTCGCAACTTGGAACCCACCCACCCCTCTCTTTTTGCTGGGGGGAAAAGCTTGTTTTACTCGGGACTAGGACTTGGGGCTTGGTACCAAAGACTCACACTTTGGACCGGGACCCAAAGAGTACTCATAACCACTGGATATGAATATATTCAGTATTATTTCTTCATTTGAAAACTATTTGAATACCATTGTGTTAAAAAGTATTTTATGAGAATGGAAACAGGTCTGCTTTAAAATTCCACCTCGTTAAGAGTACAGTGGTACCTTGCAAGACGACGACCCCGCTAAATGACGAATCCGCATAACGATGACTTTTTGCGATCGCTATAGCAATTCGCAAAACAGTGATTCCAATGGGGGATTTTTGCCGGACGTTGATTAGGTCTGTGCTTTGTGAACTGTTTGTTCGCAAGACGACGATTTTTATAGCTGATCGTCGGCTTTGCAAAATGCCTACCCTGTGTTTTCCGGACCCATGCTTCGCAGGGCAACCATTTATACAGCTGATCGGCGCTTGCAAAATGGCTTCCCTATGGGTGATCTTTGCTGGACAACGAGGTATTTTCCCCATTGGAATGCATTAAACCGGGGTTCAATGCATTCCAATGGGGAAACGGATTTCGCATGACAATGATTTCACTAAACAGCGATTTCAATGGGACGGATTATCGTCGTCATGCGGGGCACCACTGTAATGTGTCACAGAGGTTGGAAATTCAATTACCCACTATCTCCCAGGAGAACAGCCAGCCTGTGTGACCTTGGGCAAGCTGCACAGTCCCAAGTGCACTCAAAAGAAGGCAACAATAAACCACTTCTGTGTATTGTATGACATGAACAGGGTCACCATTAGTTAGACCTAACTTGATGGAACATAATTATTATTATGAGGTTTACATATGAGGAGCTCAGAGCAGCATACAGTCAAAGTATTAAGCAGATATCCATCCATCCATCCACTCACCCATCCAAAATGCATCTTCTATTAGCCCAAGAAAAGCTGGGAAAGTGTTGAATTCCACTTAAGCATTTAAAAACTTGATAATAAGGTGTACCTTTTTGCCCATGACGACTGCTAAATTTGTCTCCAATTTCTGGACGTCTAGTTTGCCTTAGCAATATTTTGATCAAAAATGCATCCTCTGCATTTGAAGATATCATGACTTTTTCAATGTATGAATCAGTTGCACCTTTGTAACTAATGAATAAATCAGAAACAAATATATATATATTTCAATTAAAGAAAATAAAGATAAGTTGTCTTGATAATGAATCTAAGGAACACCAGCTTGTGTGCTTTAGTTTCAAGAGGGAAATTAATCTTTTCCAGGAAAAAAAATCTATACTGAAAGGTACAGCTAAGGAGCAGAATTAAACTTTAATAATGGAAAACCTAGGGAAAATTATTTTAGAAGTGACCGTATCAATAAGCAGTCTGAATGTAATAAAGAGCATTAAAATAAAGGCTGCAATCCAGCCTTTCTATAATAAACAGAAATGTTCCACTTTATATTAGAAGATATGAATTGTGCTCAAAGATGTGTTCAGTAACCGTCTGATTTTTTTTCATTCTTACAAGGAGTATCTACCATACTTTTTGCATAAACAAAAGTCTGACTGCTCAAGTAGCAATCTTGGCTTGCACAAAAATAAGCACTGGAATCCAGAGTTACAAGGCTGGCAGAAGGTCCTGCTTCACCAAAGCACAATTAATGTGGCACGAAGCTTGGCTCAGAATTACACCAGAGGTGAGTAACACATGGCTTATAGGCTGTGTGCACTGACCTACCCATTTTTGCAGCCCTGAAGGCAACTCTGCATTACTGCCCCAATTATTGCTGATGGAAATTTATTGTTACTGTTCAAAATAAGGGGAATCCTCATCTTAAGTACCCCCTGAAGTGCTCATGCACAGAATCTTGCTTTAAAATAAAGGGTGCTGTCCCCAGGTTTTAAAAAATCAGTAGTGAACATCTGGTCATTCCAACCTTAAAACACGCCTCTCCTTAAATATTTGTAAGGGGAAGGCCTGCAGCAAATCTCTGGGGATTTTTGATCCAGAGAATGTTGCCCTCTCCTGCTCTGAAGAATCACAAAGACTATATACAATTGTCTTGGTCCAGGGAACCTTTTTATCTGGTCACCATGTTTTTCTCACTCTCTTCAAGTTCTACTTTTTCTATAACAAATAATCTACTGCTATTTATCACAGGCATTAAGAATTTCTTGGATAATGAAGAAGTACTAAAGTGGATTAATAAAGACAAAGGATTCAAAGAGCAGATAAATTCATAGAATCATCGAATAATGGAGTTGGAAGGGGCCTATAAGGCCCTTGAGTCCAGCCTCCTGCTCAATACAGGAATCCAAATCAAAGCAGATCTGACAAATGGTTATCTGATTTCCTCTTGAATGCCTCCAACACTGGACAAAGATGAAAGACTTTGGTCATTTAAAAGGAAACAAAGAGTACATATTTTCACAGCTGATCATTCTAGGCAAAGTAAATTAAATAGGAGAAGAATTTATTGGCAGAAGAACCTTGGAGACTGGTTATGAGGCAATACAGTGTCACTGTTTAGAGTGGCCACATCCAAGGTCAAAACAGTTTTGATGACTCCAGCCTCCAGTAGGAGAGGAACAAGAAGAATCGTTGATTATCTACCTTCCTTTCTTAAAGGTTTTCCCAAGAAAATATGATAGGATAACATACGTTACTGGCACATCTTTGTATTGTGGTTGCTGTGGTACGCTGCTTCCTTCCAGAGGAGTCTGTGTCACAGTCGGCATTGATTTATTAACAAGCACCTGCTTGTTTTCTACCTTTTCACCTGTAAGTATGCAGAAAGAACAGAACCCATTTGGTATTTAATGCAACACTTTTGTCAGCAGTATAAAGTTTTTTTAAAAAATTGAAATGATGAAAAGACTGGCTCTGAATAGATTGAGAGTTTGTTAAGCCTCATCTTCCAAGTGGACTGTTCAAGCTATTAGTAAGCACTTTCTCATGGGTGAATGACTATGGAATGTTCTCTGCAGGGCTTCACACCTAGTCTGCTAAATTTTAGGCATCAGCTAAGACCTCTGCATTCATCCAGACGTTTAGTTGTTCCTGAAGTGTTGTTAAATATAATTTTAGATCTCTTCTGCCATTTCTGAGATTTAGATGTTGTTAAATTGTACCGCTGTTTTTTTCAAAGCTATTTTAGAAATTTAATGTAAAGGTAGGACTGAAATATTTTTTTAAAATTTCTGTTGAAGCAGGCTGTACAACAAAAGACACAAGGAAAGATTCAGGTGTCATCTTATGACAAGCATGTACATAATGCAAAGAAGTACCTTTGTTATAATATTTCAGCATGTTGGCAAAATGAAAGGGGGAAGGGAAAATAAGGGGAGAAGAGCGAGAGAGAATACAAAATATTATAGCTCTTTAAAGGCTAACACGCTATGTCTGAAGAAGTAGATTTTGACCCATAAAAGTCCACACTGGAGTAATCTGTTAGTGCTCAAAGTGCCACATTATTTTGCCTTTGTCTTGCTCTCTCTCTCCTCTTTTAATTTTGCCAGTGTACATAAACCAAGGCCCCTTTCTGTACTTCATAACTAGTGCTGCAGTATGCTTTGTTTCAGTGCATAAAACTTTTCTACTATGCTCTTAAATAAGCAAGAGTTTAATGGTTATGTAGCACATTTAATGCAGCATGAAGTATGTTAAGATTCTGTATACACACACATAACATACGTAAATACACAGTCTATTTCACTTGACATAATCCAGAATTACTATGAGCAAAGTTCTTCTTATGGGAAGTTTTCTGGAAAGCAAGCAATTTTCACAATTCCTTCTATACCTTGGCTCTGTCAGTGATTTCTCCTGCATTGTTCTGAACAGTCATTCAAACCTGCATAGCAGCTGGAGGGGGGAAAACACAGCACTGCAAGGGGGAAAATAGTGAAAACTACTTCTTTCTGTTTTTCCACTGGGAGTGCTCCTTACACAGAAGTCAATCTGTCTGTATCAAACCATTATACAGTAGGATCCTCTATCTGTAGGATCAGTTTCCATTGATTCACTTATCTGCTGTCTGAAAATACTAAATTGAACCCCTAAAAATATTTATTTGTACGGATTTTCAGGGTGCATTTACCAGACTTGGCCACTAGAGCATACAATAGCTCCATGTTTTTCAGCAGGGGGCATCTGCAGGAATCAATTCCACATGGATATAATGGTCCTACTGTAGTTTAGTTAGGCTCCTTTATATGTCTGGCTAAAAGTAGCCAGAATCTTACAGGCTATTTGGATAAAATTTGCATAACTTGCTGTCATTAATTGCCGAGATCCTAAAGTGTGTCTCGATTGTGTGCCTGGTCACATGCCTGACTGCAGAACTGAGATGTGCCATAGCATCTGGTCAATTAGCTCCAAGCAGCTGCTGTAAGTTACACAAACTCTGAACAAACACCAGTCAGATTGTGGACTATCTTTTAAAAAAAGTCTGCCTTATCTGCAAAATCTTTCTTGCATTTACCATAATTTAATCTACACTATTACATTTCGGTGTACGTACATTTTGTCTTTTTCCTATACTTCTGGTATGGTGACTGAAAGCCACAGTGCAAGGACAGACATTTCTTATGGTCTTATACCTTGATTTTAGCAAAACAAAAAACAAAACAAAAAAAACCCAGTTTAAGATTTTTTTTTCTTAATGTAAAACATGATTGTATATACCTGGAGAGCAAATGCCATCAGCATCTAAAACTTCATGGCGCCAGATTGGTTTGTGTGTAGCAGCGTCCAACATGGGCCCCATCACCTTGTCGAACGTCTGGTTTGTATAGCGTTTCAGAGTACATTTTGCATTTTTGTACACAAGGCACCTTCCAAAACCTTAACAATAGAGAAAAAATTATCCATCAAAATTACTGTTATGATTATCCAAGATTAAAACCAAACAGCAATGAGTAATGTGTTTTAAATGCTGTATTTAAATGTAAAGTACAGAAAAAGGCTTTCAGAGGACTCTCATGTCTTCTGTAGTTAAAATTTAAGTTGAAGTTTTCACAGTTTAAGAATGGGTTCAAAGACAACTACATTTTCAGTCATCTAAGGCAGTGAGGTGCTACAACAGAAGCATGACATCTCATTACACTCACATTTTGCAAGAGTGAAAATCTTTTTGCTGACTAAGACACAATTAAGATGCTGCTGTTTATTCTCCAGCCCTCAGATAAATATTCTAACAAAAAAGGGTACCTAAAAAGATTAACTGGATTTAATTTCTCTAATATAATCCATACATATCAGAGAAGAACCCTAATAACTTTTATGGTCCAAATGAAATATACAAATATTCATTGGATTTCGTTTAATAAACATAACTGGTTCAAAATCTTTCTAAAATACATCCATATTCCTAGATACAAGGATAATGCCTTTTCAGACATTTTAGATTTTAAACTGTAACAGTTTTAAGTATTGTACAACATATCTATATCATTCAGTTATACTAAGTAGTTCTGTGCAGTCTTTGATTCCCCCCTAATGTTACTAGTCTACCATAAGGAAAACATTCTGCTTTAAATCATGTCTGCTATTGTTTTAGAAAAAAAGAATAAATTAAGTGTGCAGACATTAATGCCAAAGATACATGTCTAGGAATAGTACTGCTGTTGCCTGGCAACTAGCAGGCGGAGTGCTAACTACAGGGAAAAAGTGTGCTAGTGTGTATCAGTACAAGCTAGCACAAAAGTTTTTTGGCCACACAGAGTAAACCTCAGGGACACTACAACATTACACATTTCTCAAGGGAGTTGGCATTTTTAAAATGATTGATAGCAGAATACTAAAAGCATTATCATCTGGACAAGCCTGACTAAAGTGATATAAGCAATACTCTTTGATAGCCCCGCATTGTGCCTCCCCCTGCAACAACATTTAGTATGTTATTTCGGTTAGGTGCCGATTCTGCTGAAGAATGCGCAGCACTGCAAACTACACTGACTTTAGAAAGCTTGCCTTCTCAATAAAGAAGAGGTAATTCACAAGTGAGCAGACACACAGATTATTTCGATAGTGCTAGTACTATTTTTTTGCATTTTATTTTATTTGCTGCAACACCATTTTTCTGTAATTATTTATTTTATTTTATTTTATTTGCTGCAACACCATTTTTCTGTAATTATTAGAGTCAAAATGGTCTTGGACACATGGCCCTTTCCACCAAGGGATCAAGCGCCATTGGTTTTTATTGTTATGGAAAAGCAAAAATACTTAAGGCATAATCCAGTGAAACACTTAAAGTACCCATAGTTTTAAAAGCAGAGTTAAAGAATGTATGTCTTATTTCTCTCTTGAAACAATTTTAAAATGCCTTTAACATTTAAAATATATAGAAATAAAAGCCCTTTGATAAGTTACATCCCCGTTTTTCCAGATCCCAAAACAACCTCCCTTTAAAAGGTGTTTTCTGCAGCAATTCCAAATTTAGCATGGTTATATCTTAACTTTTTTACAGATATGATTCATTATTTGAAGTATCAGTTCTCTAAATGTACATTTTTTTCATTAAATTATGGGTAAAAATTTCAACAGAACGATCCAGTTCACACGTAACAGCAAACAAGAGTTTGTCAATGGTACTATAGCCTCTCCATTAAGATATTATACCAATAAATATATGTGGCTGACAAAGATTTCCAAACCTGTGTTAGCCATATATAATTAACATATCACATTAAACCATGGTTAACCTTTCTTAATCATAATTTGCTGCAATATCAGATGAAGCAAGAAACATAATCCTCCCTCTACTGAAAAATCTCAACACCATCAGATTTTTCTTACCTCGGTCTAAAGAAGCTTTATTTAGGACAAGAGCATCTTCAATATCATATCCACTGTAACTCATAACAGCAACAGTGGCATTCTGTCCAGCTGGTAGTTTCTCGAAGTCTATGAGTTCAATGGTTTTTGTCTTAACCATCGGTCTTTGCGGATATGCTAACAGATACATAAGAGTATCTATCCTGTTCCTCTGATTATATCCAATGGTACCTACAATTAGGACGACAAAGTTATGAACAAATTATAAACAGAAAAGCAGAGGCTTCATGATATTACAATTTGCAATTATCACTGATAGGTGTTATGGAAAAGTATTCAGATAAAGCTGTGAATAGTCTTGCTTTATATATGTGGACTGCAAGGAGAACAAACCTATCCCTTTTGAAGGAAATCAACCCTGAGTGCTGACTGGAAGGACAGATCCTAAAAGCTGAGGCTCCAGTACTTTGACCATCTAATGAGAAGAGATGACTCCCTGGAAAAGACCTTGATGCTTGGAAAGTGTGAAGGCGAGAGGAGAAGGGGACGACAGAGGACGAGATGGTTGGCCAGTGTCATCCAAGCTACCAACATGAATTTGACCCAACTCCGGGAGGCAGTGGAAGACAGAAGAGCCTGATGTGCTCTGGTCCATGGAGTCACGAAGAGTCGGACATGACTAAACAACAACATATATGTGTCAAACACTGCTTCCAAGTTAGAGAAAATCAAGCGTGCTTCATATAGTACTCTACGAATTTATTATATCTGGTCATGTCCGAGCGGCTAACCATTGCCTCATAAGCCTTACTAAGCAAAGGAAATAGTTTACAATACCACACACTCATTCCTGTTTTTTTTTTCCCTTATCCCAAACTCCTTTAGGAAATGACTGGGTAACATGAATATATCTCTGAGGGCCTGAACACACCTGGCCACCTTAGGCAAACTCTATTTCAAGAAGCCTTTTCAGGCTTGCAGCAAATTAACTATAAATGCAACAGCTATAGGGACGTGGTGGCGCTGTGGGCTAAACCGCAGAAGCCTATGTATGCTGCAGGGTCAGAAGACCAAGCAGTCGTAAGATCGAATCCACGCGACGGAGTGAGTGCCCATTGCTTGTCCCAGCTCCCGCCAACCTAGCGGTTCGAAAGCATGCAAATGCAAGTAGATCAATAGGGACCACCTCGGTGGGAAGGTAACACTGTTCCGTGTCTAAGTCGCACTGGCCATGTGACCACGGAAGATTGTCTTCGGACAAACGCTGGCTCTATGGCTTGGAAACGGGGATGAGCACCGCCCCCTAGAGTCGAACACGACTGGACAAAAATTGTCAAGGGGAACCTTTACCTTTACCTTTTATACCAGTGCAGCAATCGAGGGTCATGAATGAGTGGTGGCAATCCAGGAATATGCCATGTAAAAACTTCTATTTTTAGGGACATGAGTGGGAAATGTATTTGTGGGATTCCACAGAGCCTTTAGATAGCAAACAGTGCATGCATATGCCCTGAAAAGGCATTTGCCCCCCTACATATTCAGATTTTACTAAATAACAAAACATTCTGCTTAGCTTTTATTAAACAGTTAATCGCTAATATTTTAATGAACAAACACCATCTTTCTTTAACCTGAATAAATGTTAATATATTGGACAGTTATATGGAAAGCTAAAAGAAATTAATCACTAGTACATTTTGCCATTTTATGTTTTTTGAATCATTTATGCTATATACCCATTACCCTGGTATGATTCTACACAGAAAAGAACACACAGTCAGATGAAAATCTTACAGTAACTCTGTCTTTCAAAGGATTTGGGCAAGGACTGCAACCCTTAATATTATTCTGTGGAATATTCTACTTTTTAGCTGCACTGAGGCATAAAAAGAAGGCAAGAAACCATGGTTTTCTGTTTCTGTTTTGCATCCCTGCGAGCAAGGGTTTGCATATTCTCTCTGTTCCATTTACAGTAAGGAGAAATATGACACTAATATCTGTAACAAAGGTAGACTGCTGTTTTATCTAAATATAAAATCAGCATTTAGTTAACAATCCTAGTTGAGAACAGTATTTATTGTTAAACTGTGGTTTGGATAAAGGGCACTCTCTCACATTAAAAAAACAGGCAAATTGAGTTTTATGTGAATCATACATGGATGATTTATAACAAATTCCCCACATGCTCCAGCAGGGAAGGCAAAGGGGAGCATGCAATTGATTTAAATGGGCCTACTTTAGTTGCAATTTACTATGCTAAAGTAAGTCATGAGTAGAGTAGATCCGTTTGAAACAACTGAACTTTTGGAGGAGTTGACTCAGCAAATCCCCACTAATTCATTGGGTCTACTCTAGTGCAACTCAATATGCTAAGCAACAGGACTTCAGCCACTCCGTATTGTCATTATATCAAATTGTGTTATGCTTGAACTTGAGACCTTTACAGTCAATTTATATCAGCTCCTTCAGAAAGTGTTTCAATTTTATGGCTATGACACAAGGGATTCATGTGTCCAACCATTCCCCTATGTGTCCTGGTGCTTTCTCTAATTTTGTCCCAACATGAGATGATGCTGTTGATGGTCGCCCCAATTTCAGAGCATGTTGTCCAGCAAAACAGTCACTGAATGTATTTTGAAATTCCTAGAGCTTGGAGAATGCCCAAAGACTTTCTTTTTGCATATTATGTGGATATGATATGGGTAGGACAACTCATGGAGAAACTGACTACTTGCTTAAGACTGATTCGAGGATAAATAAAAGAAGGTAATTTCACTAAGATTTTGGTACCCTTTGTTGGTTTTTAGTTTGGAATTAAATTGGGAAAATAAGGTTTTGAAAAGTTGGCTGCAGTACTGATGTACTATAACTCTGCTAGAATGTACAAGTTAATTGACTATAGGAATGGACTGTATTTTTTTTATTTTAAAAATACATTTACTTCACCTTTCTTCTAAAAATGGACCCAAAGCATGTTACAGAATTAAAACACAATATTAAAAGCTAAAAACAGTAAATTATTCAAATATTTAAAAAGAATTAACAAAATTACATTAAAAATGTTAAAGTATTACTAAAAATAGATTTAGAAGCAACAAAACATAAACTATCTGTTTACTGTTTCCTAGACTGTCAGCCATGAAAAAAAAAAGCCTGTCTGAAGATAAATCCGTTTGAGGAAAGACAGGAAAGATGGGGTCTCTCTGGTCTCCTGTGGGAGGGAGTTCCAGAGTCTGGGAGCAGCAACAGAGAAGGCCTTTTTCCATGCCCCCACCAACAGTATTGTTCGTAGAGATTAATATATTATTGTGTATTTGCCTGTAGAAGTATTTGGCTTATGGGTCTTTGTATGATAATCTATTTTCTTGTTTTTGTCCAAGATGGTCAATAAAAGGGAAAAGGGAAAGAAAAATTGTGCTGAATACACGGAAACTGTCTCAGAGACATTCCTGATGTCCCTTTATGATTTGAAGACAAGACTAGTTCTGCGCCCAGATATTGTCTGAGTTTATAATGTTGATGAATTGTTAAGCTCTCAGCCTGGTTAGTGCCTGTACAGGGAGACCAACTGGGAGCCCCAGAGAAGCTGCATTCTCAGTGTCTTGAATAAAAAACAGGACACGTGCATCATTAAAAAACCTTTTGCGATCTTGCAACCCCTTAAGCATAGCTGTTACTTAAAATCCGTCTTCTATACCAAATATGGAAGATCTCTGACATTTTAACAGGAACATTTTTCAACAGGAATACCTAAACATTAGTTGAGGCTGATAAGGATTTTTTTGGACAACGTTTCTCAGTATCTGACTAGGACTGGTCATGTTACCTGGACATTCTAAGACCTATAAATGCAAAAAGTAACTTTCTAAAGATCTGTGTAAGACTCATCCATTTTCCTCACTCTAGTTGTTCCTAAACCAAAAGGTGGCATTTCTGAGAAAGTGTGAGCATTTAAAAGATCAGAAAAGATCTATGCTGAGTAACAGGACCTTCCTACACAGTAGGGAGCTAAAATGCTATCTCAATAATCCCAAGCTCTTGACAGCCCAGGAAATGACTAAATGGACTTGAACATGTATCTCTCACAGGACAATACCGAGACAGTTAGTGGCAGCAGGGGGCGGGCAAAGACAACGTTAAGGAAGACTGTTTTTCCTCCACCAGGGTAAATATTCGGCAATGAATGAGAATGCAGACAGATCTAAAACTGTTGATTCATGGTTCACCACAACATTTAATCTCTGCAAATATTACTGAATGTATACCTTAGAGAATCTAGCATTATAATGGAGAGAACTTTCCTACTACTGCAATCACAGAAGCTCTACATGAAAAGAAAAGAACAATCCAACAGTCTTCAGTAAACATTCAGGATACTAGAAGAAATTCCACCCATATGAAATGAAACAAACAAACACACAATCCAATAAGCCAACTTTAGAAACGCACTTTTATCCCTCTGCTCTTTCCTCAAGAGTCAGGTGCCCTTAATAGCACACACACACACACACACACACACATACACTTAAAAAACAACAACAATATTACTAAAGATATTCAGCAGCTTTTGTGTTCCCAGCGTCAGCAGTAACGTCAGAGGATTGTATCCAAGGAGCTAAATGTGCAAGACCTCGGGTCAAAGCAGCTGAATACACCAACCTCAGAAAACACAGACAATGAATTGCAAATGACACTGAAAACAAAACGAGAAAAAAAGACCTTCACACAGAAAACTACAAAAGAACTCTACAGATACTGAATTGGCTTTCTGTACACACTGATCCTGCTTAACTGTGTGTGGTAACTAACCAAACCTTCCGAGGCTAATAGTCCTAAAATAGAGTCTCTAAAGAATGAGGGTGGAATTAAAAGAAAGGGATAAATATATTATTTCATTTTTTCAAATATTTTTGCCACTAAATGGACAGCAAATATTTTTATTTCTCTCAGAAAAGGGAGAAAAACTCAGAAAAGAAACACTACTCAGTTTTAAAATTTATTTAGAGAAGGAGATAACATTTCTGAATCAGAATTTCTACTCAAATTATATATATTAAAAATCTGAGTTAGTAGTTTAAATACCACATAAGATTCCCCCTCCCCCTGAGCAACAATTACCACAACAATTAGGAACACAACTCTGGCTTAGATTCAATTGCTGGTACCAAGCAGAGTAGACCCGATGTAACAGTGGGGCTTTCCTAAATGCTCGGCGTGCTTGCTTTGACTGGGACTAAAAATTGGATTTTGCCATCTGGCCCTGCACCAAATACATTTCTGAGGGATTATATCTAGAATGTGGTGGGAATAGGTAATAATTCACCATGAAGCAATTATCTGGGTAGAAGTGGGATATGGAGAACAAAAGTACCTGCATAAAGCTACATAGTAAAATGCAACTGGTAAAACTGAGAACATGATGGTTCGGCTTCTTAAAAACTGCAACTGCGTCTGAGTCTTTTAAAAGGATTACCAAAAACAAGTGATGCAAAAAGCTGAAGATATGTACATGGCATAAAAAGTGTGCATCGTTTATTTCAATGGAAGAAGCAAACCCATGTGCACAAGGCAGACTATGGGGTCAGAGTCAGCATTTCCACACCTGAACTTCTTATTTCTATTTAAAGTGGAAACAAAAATCATTACTGGACTGAGATAAAAGGTATTTTGCAGAAAGGTATTTTGCAAAACGTCACAATTTACAGTGGTGCCTTGACTTACGAATGTCCCGACTTATGACCATTTTGAGTTACGATCAGCTCAGGCCACAAAATTTTGCTTCGACTTGCAGCCGGAGCTTCTAGTTACGAACAGAAAAAGGCAGGGGAAAACGCGGGGAATTCAAATTGCTAATTGTCGGTAGGAGAAGATGCTACTTCTTTGTAGTCTTTCGCCCCAACAGTTAAGAGAGTGTGTGATCATAGGAGGCTTCGGACAGCCTGGTACGGTAAGGTGCTTCTTTCTGCTTTTTAAAAACTGTTCTGGGTGGGTTTCACAGCGTGGTTTTGGGCTGGAGGGTTTATGCTTCTGTACTGTGATTGGTCTTGGAGGGGTTAATTTGTTTTTTCGTTTTTTCCCCGTTTCCGATTGGTCTTGGGGCATTTGTTTGTTCCCCCCATTTCCGATAGGTCTTGGGGGGGGTTGCCTGCTTTTGGTTTTTTTCGCCCCATTTCCGATGGGTCTTGGGAGGTTTGTTTGCTTTTTGGGTTTTCCCCCCATTTCCGATGGGTCTTGGGGGGGTTGCCTGCTTTTTGGGTTTTTCCCTCCATTTCCGATGGGTCATGCACAATCTGCTTGCTTTCTGCTTTGCTTTCTTTGCATTTCCAATGGGTTTTGCACGTTTTGCTTGCTTTTCTCTCCCCCCTCTTTTCGGCTGGGAGGGATTAATCGCGTTTCTGATGGGTCTTGCAGTGTTTTGTTTTTTGTTTTTGGTGACTTTTTCCTTTGGCCGGAACGGATTCATTGCATTTCAATACATTCCTATGGGAAATGGTGCTTCAACCTATGACCATTTCGAGTTACTACCGGAGTTCTGGAACCAGTTAAGTCTGTAAGTCAAGGCACGACTGTACTAATGTCTTCCAACTCATCTCTCTCTCTAGATTATACACCTACAGGCAGGACTTGGTTTTTTCTTTAATATTTTCTATATTTCTTTCTTCTTGGTGTTTTGGCACTATAAAAATAATAAATAACATCTGACATACTGTATTGTCAGATTTGCTTCAGACTTTGCTTTCTTTGCATTTCTGATGGGTCCTGCACATTTCGCTTTCTTTTCTCCCCCCCCCCCTTTGGCAGGAAGAGATTAATTGCGTTTCCAATCGGTCTTGCAGTGTTTGGGGGGTTTTTTGGGTGACTTCTTTCTTTGGCTGGAACAAATTAATTGCATTTCAGTGCATTCCTATGGGAAATGGTGCTTCGACTTATGGCCATTTCAAGTTACGACTGGAGTTCCGGAACCAATTAAGTCTGTAAGTTGAGGCACCACTGTACATACACAGCACTATAAATTATTTGTGGTTTCTAAATCTTAGATTTCAGATTTTAAGAAATATTAGCAATGGTTTTTGCTTTTCAGCCAAAGGGGATACCAGATATTTGGAAGGTGGAATAAGGCTGTTAGGCATGTTTACACATAAATATGTAATAATTAATTTCAATTTACATTAATTAGTAATTCTATTAAGATACTGAAAAATAAACAGGCACAATAGCCATGGCATCAATGATGCTGATTTTAGCTATCTAATATGCACAAGAAAGAGAGAGAGAAAATGCACAAGGGAACCAATTGCTAAATCCAAAAACCTGTTAGGGTTGCTTTAGCAGGTGAAGGTGGGGCTGGTGGAAAACTTTTCTTTTTAAAAAAGATGTTGATCCCAAGGTGAAGGAAAATCATGTTTGTACCGTATTTCCCTATCCCTATTCCAGAAGGAAACAGGAAGGCCTGGGCTCCAGAAGACCCAAAGCTTACCCTTTCTGGCCTTTCTGACCAGTAGCGGCAGACTTTTCCATGTTCACAGAGTGTTCACAACTACATTCTATGGTTCTTGGGATTTATTTTGTTGTTTATTTAATCAATTTATATCCACATATCTCCCCAAGAGGACTACTAGAAGCACAAGGACCACACCCTTATAGTTGTATTATATTGCTTCACCTGTAAGACATGAAAACCACTCAGATCTGAAGCACAAACAGCTTACCCATAGCTTGCTTCCCCATAGCACACTGGTAAGTATTTCTTGGAGACTGGTTATGATGAGGGTAAGGAATGAGGCCAGCACACACACCAAGAAGCGTAAAAGGTTCGATTTCTAGATGCGTTGTCTGTCTTGTAGGAGGAAAAATGACCAAAGGTGAAATTTTGTAAAGCTTAAAGGCTTCATATTTACAATCCATTTTGTGAAAACAAAACAAAACAAAACAGAGAAGGCATAAAGCTGTAAACATCAAAGATGAAAATGAGATTTAAATGCATTCTACATTGCTAAAAAATCTATTACTTCCTCTGAGTCAACTGTATTAGATACTTCTTTGATTTACAGATGCCTCACACACTGTGAACTCAAATAAATACAGTGGTGCCTCGCATTACAATGTTAATTCGTTCCAGCAAAATCGCTGTAGAACCAAAACATCATAAAGCGAAATTAAAAAGCCCATAGAAATGTATTAAAACCCATTTAATGCGTTCCGATGGGCTGGAAACTCACAGTCTAGCGAAGAGCCTTCATAGGGTGGCCATTTTCACTGCCTGTGCAGCGAGGAATCCGTCCCAGAAAACAGCGGGGGGCCATTTTGTTTTCCCAGTGGCCATTTTGAAAACGCCGATCAGCTGGAGGAAAATCATCATTTTGCGAAGAATCGGTTCCCGAAGCAGGGAACCGATCATCGCAAAGCGAAATTCCCCCATAGTAAACATCGTAAAGCGATCACAAGTTAATTGTAATGCAATTTCGTCGTTAAACGGAGCGACCGCAAAAAGTTAATCATAATGCGATTTCGTCGTTAAACGGAGCGATCGTAAAGCGAGGCACCACTGTATTAAGAGATCCACTATATGTAAGAACTCTCTTGCACCAATAAGTGTTTCACATACATCAGTTATTAGAAAATATAAAGGACTATGATGGAACTAAATGGGGAAGCACATTGTCACGATTCCCATGTGGCCCCTGCTTGTTTCACCAGACTAAGAGTTCACACTATGTTCCCCTCAGCTGCCACCAGTTGATTACATCAACATTACCTATTATTAATAAAAGATGTCCAGGCCATATGTCAGTTTAAAAGAACCAAATAGAAATTGTTTATAGATACAGGTGTTGACAGAACAAGCAAGTTTTTAACTCTTAAACAAACATTCTTCTTTATCCACTCTCAACCACCACTCTCCCGCCCAAACTCCTAAACTCTCTCTCAGTTTCTCTATCTCAAAACCCTTTCTAAACTCTGACTCCGACTAACTCCCCCTCCTCCTGCTGAGTCTCTTATATCTTGTGACTCTGCCCCTCCAGCACTCCCATTGGTCTATGAAGATGGCATATGAATATTCATGACCTGGGCGAACACCACACACATATATCCATGAACCAATGAATGTATGATCTGCCTGCAAAGTTTTTAAAGACAACAACTCCAGAAAATTTTACAGTAAAAGGAAAGATCATAAATGTCACTGAGGGTAGTTTTTAATAAATATGTGAATATTAGCATACCCTACTGTTACAGATACATATGCATGTATATCTACACACAGAGGGAGAGGCACATATAATATATACACACATAAACGTAGAAGGGCTGCATTACCTGCTAATGCTTGAGCATTGTCTTCTTGTTTTTTCTTTTTGTATTGATTGGCTTTGCACATTTGTATGGGTCATACTGTACAACCACAATAAACTTTATTATGTACACACACGTGTGCATGATAACCTTTTACTCAATCTCATAACTGTGCTAATACCAATTTGCTAAAATATAACAAACTCTTGGTAACACTTACTTATTAATTGTATGTTCATACAGTGCAATGTTGCAGTCATTTTCCTCATTTACGTCCAAATACTCAACAAGGCTTTCATGTAAAAAGTCTTCAAAATTCCTACAGGGAAAGAACATTTATAATTCCACATTGAGGCTATAGAAACAGCTTACAACTGATAAACAATCAAGTTCTTACACAAGTATGAAATAAGAAAGATCTTACACTCTTTTATATAACAGCATACACATCTGCTTTGCATCACTATGGCTAAATAAAAAAACAAGCCATGTTGTTTACCTATAGCCTTGTGCAAGTTCTTCCATATGTTTCTCAGTAACTGCAGGTTTTTGCTTCTTGACAATAATGTAGGGTCTAGATGAGGAGAAAGAAAGAAAATTAACAAATGTACAGCAAGCAAGTACATTACACTCTTCACAGAGATGGGAATAACAATGACATCTATAGTTGGGACTGCCACCTTGAGGAATATGATAAGTCACTATAGTAAGAGAGTGCTGAAGCAGAATGGTCTACAGATTCCCAGCTACTGGACACAGTGTGCCTTTAAGAAAGGCCAGATTATCACAACAGTATAGAGCTCAAATCTAAGAAGTCATGGAAGATTATTGAAGACAGTGTGAAAGATCAAGTACACAAAGAAAAGCTGTATATTGGAGAGATACGAGGCTTCCAATTCGCACACATAATTAAGGGAGTCCTCTTAAATGTTGATAAAAGATCCCCACATACTTCTCACAGAACTAGCAGGAATTTTTCAGCACTAAGGATAACACTCACACAAGAACCTTGTTTATTTACTGAATCTAAAAGGCACATGTACAAATTGAAAACATAAGCTTGACCTTGTTGGTAGCTACAGAGGAGCTAGAAAAGATCCTTAAGAATAATGGTTTTTTACTGGAAACCAACAGCTTGACCATCCATAGTATTGTATTCCTGACAACTATGGAGGGATGTGAAAACTGGATAGCGAAGAAAAAAAATTAATTCCAAATGTGGTGCTGGAAGACAGCTTTATGGATACCATAGACCACCATAAAGACATATAAGAAGGTGTTAAATCAAATCAAGCATGAACTATTCCTCTAGAAGCAAACATACCTAAATTGCAGCTGTCATATTTTGGGCATACCATGAGACAATAAGTCACTTGAAATGACAAGTTGAAAGCAGCAGGAAAAAGGCAAAGCTTAATTATCAGGATGCCACCACCATCAGTTTTCCAAACCTGAGTTTGACTAATGATGATAAGACTCTTTGGAGGCTACTAATTCATAGGGTCACTGTAGGTCACAAGTGACTTGATAGCACATGACGGCGAAACCCTAGCTGATTCAGTAGCACATCCCATTGATTTTAATGGGACTTATCCATTTTGAGACTACAGTACCTTTGTGTACTTATGATGCCAGCTTTCCAGCATATTTTATGGGCCTATATGTAGTTTTCATATGAAAACATTGCAACAATCTTTAATTTTCAAGTGACAAAACAAGTGAAAAGAATTTGTAATAATGTGTACATACTGCAGAATGTGATGCAAATTGTCACTAATAATTGGAATGATCAAATAAGGGCCATCTGAGGAAATAGGCTACCTTCTATTTTTGTCAATTACATAATTACTCAAGGCAAATTTCAATCTCAGGATAAAACAAAGAATGAAGTTGATTATATCAAATTTATATTTCTCTTGCTAACCAAACAGAGCTACTCTATGAAATCTTCCACTTATTATAACAGCAGTTCTCAATCAATGACACATACAACCCTAGAAGGACACAGAGATAGTCCAGATGGATCAGGTTTTTTTGTCATACAAATTACTCAGAATTCACTCTCCCTCATTCCACATGCCTTTTTACAAGAGTGACATGCAGTCTCCAACAACCCACAAATCATCCTATTGTGATTTTTGGGGATTCTAGTAGTAACTTTGGACACTCCTGCATTTTCACTAATTCTCCATTCTCTCTGTTCACCAACCTACTGAAAATAGTAAATACAACAGCAGAACATCATTAAACCTATAAATGTCTTGGAAAGAAGTAGGCTTTACTATAGAATTCAGACTTTTTGAAAAAGTGCTTGGTGAGATAGATGCAAGGTAGTAAAGGCTAAGAACAACTCCATTTCAAGAATTTTATTCAGCATATGCACAAAATAATTAGTTGCATCAGGTCTCTAATAGAGAAAGTCTACAAACATTGCTGTTTGTAACACAATAACTAGACAATACCACTTTGGAAATATAAATATGACTGAAATCCTGTTGCTTTTTTACATATACGGAAGACAAATGGCTTCACATTTATTCATTTCTAGTTGGCAATGAGACCCCAATGGGATTCTGAAGTCCCAGTGGGGGACTGTTACACCATTTATCTTCCACATGTGTAAAAAAAGCAACAGGATTTCATCCACTAGTTAATTATTCTGTTAAGATGGCCCACAGAATTCCAATTCCATGCTGAAGGAAGGGAATAAAAATATTTACCATCTGCACACTGAGCTACAAAATTGAACTATGTATTTTCAGACCACAGCCAGGATTCTCAAGAGTTCTTCTCCACTACCACACTGAAACAAAGAATGGCATGTGCCATCCAAACATCAAGGTCTGTTCCTGTTTGCACAAGATGCTCTTGCAGTGTGTAGCAAATAACTACAATATGCGCCAACATTCCACTCCAAAAGCCCAGACTAATAGTTTAGACACTAACCCTTTCAAAATGCTGAAGTGGAAATCTGAAACAACTGCAAAAGGATTTTAAAAATCCCCAAAGCCACAAGTGTAACAATATCAAAACTGGTTATATGCCTACTGGTCATCCAATGCTGATTGCACTGATACTGCCTTTTTACTGCTGAAACATGTCATACTGGATGATCAAGTCACACAACTGATTTTTGGGTCACCAAGTAATTGTTTCAGCAGTAAACCTGCACTGTGCATTTCTCTCTTGTGCACATATTTGCCTGCCCTTACAATCTGTCCTTGAGAATGAGCTGAATAAATATGACAGCTTAGGTGGAGTTCATTATTGTATACATGCAATAACTGAAGAGGACACCATTTTAAGATGCTTACCGGCACAGTCTTCCGCCATCGGAGGAAATATACACACATCGGTCTGTTAGATTTGTTGAGATTGAAACAAATTCATTGATATAGCCTGCTCTACGCATCAATCGAAAGGTGTAGACCAGCTTCTGATGGTCTCGAATAACACCAAGAATGTTGCCTATGCGAGAAGAGAATGATATTATGAATTTCCATCTTTACTTCCTTGGCTCCTACTATTTCCTTTGGGATGGATGGACCAGCAGTGGCTACAAACACCCTATGTCGTTCCCTGCTTAGATGCAATAGCATCAGTGTGTTGCTGCTCTTTTACACTTTCCTGAATCTGAAACTTCATCACTTAATAGGGGGATCTATAATTTCTTAGAATTAAAAGTGTTGAACCCAACTGTCTTTCTGCATAGGTCATGCATATTGTTTGGACATGCTTAAAATATTCATTCTTGCCAAGAAAATAATCTTGTCACAGGTACACAAGCACCTGCCTATGGACTGAAGCTATTCAGAAGTATGCACTACATCAGAATACTCAGAGATCCAGCTACACAGAGAGTACTTTAAGCATAATGGGGTAGCATATAAGCAGCACACTTTGCTTTTATATTGAGGTAATGCAATAACGGAAAATGTGGGGTTTTTTTTTACTAAAACATCTAAATATTTTAAACCCACACCCATATTCAAGCAGTTCACAAACAATTTTATTACACCCCACTCTAAAACTACAACTTAAAATTACTTTAAGAGACTTTTTAAAAGCTGAAATTGCTATTTCTACAACAAAGAATTTAGGCCTCTCTTCCAGTTAGGAATTATTTTTTTTCTAGAAGGTTTTACTGAGGAAGCTATAGCACATGGAAGGAAAAAAAAATTTACACAATCTTTTCAACCTGCCTCTTTAGTGTCTGGGAATTCCACACATGAGGATACTAGAAACTTGTAACAAGAAACCAAAACTAGAACCCAAAGAAGGGCAACACATTTAAGAAGCCATTCCATTTAGCCACCTGGTCTCAGCATCCAGAACCATCCTACTAAAAATACGATTTTATGAAACAATACTGTCTGTAGATTATTTCATTAAAAAGGCAGACAACTGCATACTTAGGTTAATCTTCCCTTTATTTCTCAAATTAAAAAACAAGCAAAGAGATTTTTAGAAATGCCATACCATTAAGGAAAACAAGGAAAACATTTGGATATGAAAGTTCTTCTCCACATAGAAGGTTTACATCTTCTACTCCCAGGTTGCCAGCTAATTTAATAATTGGGCCATCTTCCATATCAGTAGTAATGTGAGTCATTAGCGCCAGGTTTTTAACCAAGCCACAGGCCTGAAGACATATGGAAAAGATTTTGAAAATGGAGTGCATAGGCAATGACTTTGCATACATTCATTGTACATTAGCTTTTATAGTGGTGCCTCGCAAAACAATGTTAATGCATTCCGCGAAAATCGGTGTCTTGTGAAAACATCATTTTGCGAAATGCGGTTCCCCACTGGAATGCATTGAAATCCATTTAATGTGTTCAATGGGGGAAAAATCGTCGTCTTGCGAAAATCGCCCATAGAGAAACCGTTTTGTGAAACACAGACCCAGCTGTCAAAATCGCTGTCTTGCGAAAAACCGTCCCTAAAAAACTGTTTTGTGAAGCGCGGACCCAGCTGTCAAAATCATCGTCTTGCGAAAAATGGTCTCGGGGGGGAAAAAAAACCATCTTGCGAAGCACGGACCGAAACATCGTCCAGAGAAAATCACCCGGAAAATGGTCTCAGGGAAAAAAAAACCCATCTTGTGAAGCACAGACCAAAACATCGTCTAGCGAAAATCACCCATAGGGAAAACCATTTTGCGAAGCGCTATAGCGATCGCAAAAACCCATCGTCTTGCGAATTAACAAATTTGTGAGGTAATTGTCTAGCGAGGCACCACTGTATTTTGTATAAACTCACCCACTGATAGTAAATTTTAACACATTGAAAAGCTCTCTGTGTGTCATATGCATTAATGAAATATTGTTCAGTATGTAGCGCAAACTTTCAAACTACTAACATTAGTTATTACTATGTGTGACTGGTGGTACCAGATTTTGTTCAGTTTGTCATGGCTAAGTTCTAGTGAAGGAAGCAGAACGGGACTCAGAACCTGATTCCATGTATCTTTACTCAGATGTCTGACTAATGGAGTTCAATAGTACTTCCTCTCAAGGAACAGTATGTAGATATGCAACTCGAGAGACAAAAACTTATGTTCACATGATTTCCATTAGTCTCAGACTCAACTAATATTTTGGGTAAAACTCATTAAGTTCAGTTATACGTTCAAATAAATATGCAGACGACTAAGCTTTTACTGAAAACTAGAAAAAATTGGATTGTAGTCAAGGTGAAAAGCAAAGTGAATGAGGTAACAATCGAGAATGGTAGCTGCTTTAGCAAGACTTGTTTGCCATTCTGTGGCAAACGTGGGGCATTCCCCTACTTTGGAGGAAGCATAGATGGAAGAGGAGGGAGAAGACAGGCAAATAAAGCAAAAAGCAGAACATGAGACAATCAAGTTCTTGGTACCTCAGAAGATAGTACAGACATATTAATGTGTACTTTAAAAATGTTTCAGCGGACACAGTCTTGGATGAAAGTTCTTGTTTGCCATTCTGTGGCAAACGTGGGGCATTCCCCTACTTTGGAGGAAGCATAGATGGAAGAGGAGGGAGAAGACAGGCAAATAAAGCAAAAAGCAGAACATGAGACAATCAAGTTCTTGGTACCTCAGAAGATAGTACAGACATATTAATGTGTACTTTAAAAATGTTTCAGCGGACACAGTCTTGGATGAAAGTTAGCAGTATAGATAGTACAGACATATTAATCTGTACTTTAAAAATGCTTCAGCGGACACAGTCTTGGATGAAAGTTAGCAGTACATCGATCATTCTAAGAAACGTTATATAGACTGGCAGCATTATAGACTTTAAAATGAAAGTGTTGTGTTGGTATGTAACTGCTTAAGTGTAACACATTGTTCAGTAATAACACATTGGGAGCATTCCCACAACACTTGACCTGCCAGACATATGGAAACCTTGACTTGTAATGACGAAGCAGCATGCTTGGACACCCTACTCAGTCAACTCCCATCTGTAATAGGAGTGGCTAAACCAAGCAGCTACAGAGCTTCGGATCCCTTCTCTGCTACGTTCCCTCTCAAAAAAAAAAAAAAAAAATTAGCAGTACATCGATCATTCTAAGAAACGTTATATAGACTGGCAGCATTATAGACTTTAAAAAGAAAAAGAAAAAGAAAAGAAAAGAAAAAGAAAATAATCAAGGATTTTTATCTGGTTTGTTAGGAAGGGAAAAAAAACACTGCCAGATGACAGAATAAACTAATTGTGCTTCTCTGGGTTATGATGACATGATCACTGTGATGGGGTAGGATGGGAGGAAGAAATTAAGTTTAGAGTACTTACCTCTCCTTCTGGAGTGTCTGAGGGGCACAACATACCCCACTGAGATGGCTGCAAAGACCGAGGACCACTCACTTTTCTTGTTTTTTCAAACTGAGAAGAGATTCTTGTCATCATTCCCAAAGCAGATATATAAGACAAGCGGGACAACACTTGAGTCACACCCTGACGATCCATCTTGAATCTTTTCAGTGACCAATTCCCCTAAAGGTGAAGAATTACAAAAGTCTGCCAAAATGCAGTACAAGCTGTTTCCCAGTTTTTACACCTGGTTGTGGAGCTAGAGATTGGTAGTTTCCCACTTGGTGTGGGGAAAAGCCAGCCTATCTGGCCTTGGGCAAGCTGCAAAGTTCCAGATCACATCCAGAAAAAGGGAATGGTAAATCACTACTCTACACCTAGCAAACCCAAGAAAGAGTTGCCTTAAGTTGGAACCAACTTGATGGTGTGTATTTGTTATTATTATCCATTCTGAAATGGATAATTTCAAATACGGCTCTTTCAACTAGAGCAGTGGTACAAACGTTTCAGTCCCAATCTATTCTCAAGGCTTTCCAGTAGAAAAATGTGGTCAATGCTTACTTGAATAGTAACAACATAACAGCACTAAGATTTTAGATGAGAAGTTGACAAATACAATGGTTTCAAAAAGTTGAAAGCAGTCATGGAGCAATACACAACTTTGGCTTTGAAAGAGTTTTTGAAATGTATGTTTTTAATGCATTTTATACCATGCTGTTGATTGTAACCCAGTGCCATTCTCTCTCAAGGATTCTGACTTCAAATCAGATTTAGCTGATTGCTCCATGGGCCAGTGATGTTCCAAGAGCAAATGAAACACTTACAGTGGAGATGGCATTCACCATACCATTGGTGATTTGATCTTGCCGCATATGTTTAACAACATCAAACTGGGCTGCCCTTTGTTTGGGAATTACTTGATCAGCAATCTTTTTTAATTCAGAGTTAAATTTCTTGAACAAATCTTCAAACAGAAGGGAAAGAAGCTGCAATGATAAAATAGGAGATAGAGCAGTTACAAGCCATTTAGCAACCAGAGAATTACTATGAGTGGAAGACCTGGAAGACTATTGCTATAATGTATACATATCCACCTACAGTGGTGCCTCGCTAGACGATGATAATCCTTTCCACTGAAATCGCTATTTAGCGAAATCATTGTCTAGCGAAAAGCATTTTCCCATTGGAATGCATTGAAACCTGTTTAATGCATTTCAATGGGGAAGAATCGTCGTTGTCTAGCGAAGATCAGCCATAGGAAAGCCGCTTTGTGAACTGCTGATCAGCTGTTTAAATCGCTGTCTTGCGAAGCTTAGGTCCCGAAAACACCTGTTTGCGAGCGTAGAGGGAGCTGTCAAAATTGTTGTCTAGCGAAAATCGGTTTGCGAAGCAGGGACCAAACATTGTCCAGCGAAATTCCCCCATAGGAATCACTGTTTTGCGAATTGCTATAGCAATTGCAAAAAGCCAATGTCTAGCGAAAAAATTGTCATGCAGGGTAACTGTCTAGCGAGGCACCACTATATTAAGAGAATGACATTCTCCACATTGTGATCTAATGATCCCTACAAAGCAGAAATGAATTAATCCTGTTGATGCCTAAGGACAAATACTATCAGACTTCACAATTTTGAACATGATAAAAAGAGAAGTTTTTATTTCAGTACTGGTCAAAACCTATTACTTACACAGTGAGTAAACACAATCAGTTTAAACCTTGGTGGTGAATTGCCAGCAGTTAAGAAAGCATGGGCTCTTGCTGTTTTATTCCAAGATGTGAGATTTGTCACACAAGGGCAAATGTCTGTGGTGATTTAACTTTTGGCATTGTGCAGCTGAGATTTATGGTGAGTGCGTTATGTCAGCCTAAAAATGCAAAAGGATTTTGGCCACTGTATTTTTAGACCGCTCACAGAAAAATGTATCTGGATCATGTACAGTGAATTGAAAAATATAGAAGTATAGTAAAGCAATAATAAAATAGACAAAAATAAATTTACACAAACTAAAAACAACAGCAAGGGAATAAAAATAGGACAGCACACCAGAAAACCAAAGAAAATCCACAGTGCATAAGTCTAAAAACACTAAAATAGTTCTTAAAATAACCTGGAAAATAGAATGGTATTCACCTCCCCCCCCCCAAAAAAAAAGCATAAAGAAGGGCATTCTGTGTTGAGTATTCTATATACTGTATGCCATGCTATCACCAAGGCCTTCTGTCTTTTAGAAATCTGCCTCCCTTCTAGTTGGGGCACCTGGAGAAAGGCTCAGGATGCCAACCTTAGACCCAAAGCAGCTTTTTAAAATGCTTTTCTTAAGAACCTTTGAACCAAAGTAACAAAAAATTTCTTAAAATTACAAAATACTTAATGACCCCAGTAATTTCTACCAGAAGACACCTATGAATTTCTACTGTAACAAACAAATAAATGTGCCAACAACAGAATAAGAACATTCATATTCCAACCATTCTACAACAATTATAATCTTTAAATTCCCATACAGCCTCTTTTAAATTGTCTGGATTTACAATTTTTAAATTGCTCTACAACATCTTGGTCCAGGAGGCCTCCTAGCTTATTTTCAGAAATGATGATTTACAGACAACCGTCAACTGCATCAGTAACATCATCAAAAGCATATAACTCCCAAAATGACTCCCTCCTTAAAGGGTCAACAATACTGTTTGCCTTCTATTTGGAAAATGGCTATTTCCAATTTTTTGGCTCTATAATCAATACTTTTCTTCCAACTGTTTTTTTATTTTATTAACCTGAATCCAATTGCTTAGGCTGAACTAAAGTAGACCTATTAAATGAATGGAATGATAGCTCAACATATATGTAAATCTCCATTGACTCAGTAGATCTACTTTAGATGAAAGTAGGAACTGGGATTAGGTCACTATTTTTCATGCTTACCTTTTAATTTGTTTATCTGTTACTCTATTCACATTTTACTCTGCTTTCAGTAGTAAATATTACTGATATGTTGTCACACCAAAAAAGATACAAAGCAAAATATTTACAGATTGACTATTTCCCTCTCACTTCCAGTTATTCCTCACCTCCTAAAAATATGTACATAGTCTAGAACATTATTTTCCAAAAATTTGGTTTTACTGCAGCTTCTAATGTCAGGAAGACTAAAAACAGAGTAGCTACTCAAAGCCAAAAATGCATGCTCTCAGTACACAACACATTGTTAAGTGCTGAACAAACTAGGTATTCAAGTAGGCCCTGCTAAGACATTCTGGAGTCTATTGCATAATTTAATTCCTGCATGGAATGAGATCAAACTAAACTGTCTCCATTTTCTTAGAATACTTTGTTAAGAGTATTAACACTACTCTGTCTCAGTTGGCCGAGGCCTCATCATTCATTTTGCCCTTCAAATGAATGGATCCATTAACTATTTGCCAGTCTTTCTATCATCATCAGGTCCTTGCTGATTTGCACAAAGCACAGGACACTGAAATATCCTTTGCTTTTCATTTTACTGGGACCATATAAACTGAAAATATGTATCAGATCTGAAACAATTTTTTTCTGGAATTACAAGTTATTCAAGTCATGAAAAATAGCCCCACATGGAACTCTCAAAGAATGTATCTGTGGTTCAAGTGCAGAACAGCTTCTGTGTCAATTCTAGAATGCACCAGTGGTTACTCAAAACAACCAGGAAGTTCAGCCCTTTCCCCTTTTAAAGAGTCTTTATTTCTGACACCAAAGAGAATCAGGTTTGCATGGCTCTCCACCATGATGTAGTCCTTAAATGTACCACACCAGCAAAGAAATGCTACGTGAATAAACTGCAGCCTAGCACTGATGCAGTCTCATAAATACAATCACAAATTTGGATGCCAGTTACATTTCTGTTCACCCAGGGACTTCATGCAAATTCAGACATTGGATTTGCCACAGAGATAAGGCAGAATACAGTGGTGTACTTCTATTAGATTCCTGTGTTTCCACCAAGATCGAACAACCCTTCTCTCTTCTTCACACCCCTGCAAAAGACCACTCTGGAGATCTGAGAAACACTCTGGGCCTGTGTTTTTTTTTAACACCCTGCAGGGCTTCTCTACAAGTAGAGTACAATGAAGTCCTTCCTCTGCTGTAGTCAGATCCCGAAGTATCATCAGTTCTTTTGGGGAGTTGGTTGGTTACAATTCATACAATTTCCAGCTACACGGTCCAATTCCCCTAAAACCCTAATGCACAGTGAAGACCTTTTGTTTTACTACCAACCCAGCATACTTCAGATTTCACCAGTCACTCTCTTAAGTCAACTTTAGAGAGGGAACCAGGGCTGCAAACCTTTTTTGAGTCTCTGTCACTTCCTTGTCTGGAAGCCCCCAAGAATGATATATAAAATAATCCACACTGGATGATTTGGGTCCAAATCAGTAAGAGACAGCCATCTTATACCATCAGATCTCTGATGCTTCTAACTCAGCACTGACTGGCAGCACCTCTCTCAGTTTCAGAGAAGTGAATTTTCCATCCCTGTCTCAAGAAGATGAGGACATAACTTGAAATTTTTTTGCATGCAAAGCACATGCTCTGCCATTGAGCTTTGGTTCTTCCCCTGTGGTTTCCCATCTGAATACCAGTGAATGGGCTGTTTTCTGACTGAGCATCAAAATTACCAAGACATTTACATACAAAAATGCCACAGATATGTCCACAGTCTTCAGAACAGTCACCAATATTTTGTTGCAGTATGAAGTAATAAAGTTAAGTATACACAAATGTCTTGACTTCTAGTCTGAAGCATTTCTTTGTTAATTTCTGTATAAACACAAGCTTTCTCTAGGAACCCTAGAGAAAGTTTTGCACTAACCATTTTTTAGGTCAAGAGTAAGTGATTAAAAAGAGAATAGGATAGAATGCCAGAGAAAATATTCATTGCATTTTTATAGTAAGCACAGGGTCTTTCAGAGAGGAGCATTGAAGAGCAAATTACATTTGAGGCAATGGGGGGCATAAGGGAGAAAAGTGACAGCTCATCAATTGATTTTCATTGAAAATACTTAGGAAAAAAATTAATAAAGTAGCTAAGCCGTTGAAATACAGTTTCACCAATTAGCTTAATGTCAGAGAATTCTAATTAGGCGCCTTGAGATTGCCATTTAGTGTTTAAGGCTTTAGAGTGCCAAATTCTCCTTTTCACACAAACTGGTGGCAAAATTAAAGATATTAGGCAGCCTTAATTATATTATCAGAACAGCTGGGATTAGTCAATCTCTGAAGTCAAGGCGGTTTTCTTTTGTCACAGGGTAGAAATCCCTTCCTTTCCACGGTGCCGGATTTTGGTACTGTTCCATATCTCACCCATACAAAGCCAGCTGAATTAGAAAGAAAAGGGGGGAAAATGCCAAACAAACCCTGAGGACAAAGACGAGGGAAATGCTCAGAAAATAATGAACACATTAAGGGAAGAGAAAGGGTAGGTGAAAAGATTAAGCTTGGAATTGCTAGGTTTCACTAACACCTCTGCTGGCACCTGGCCTACCAAGCCTCTAGTGGGCAGAAAGACTAAGAGGAAGATCTGTAAACCAGCTTGGCTAGTGGAAACAACCGTTATCTAAAGCTAAAGCACATTTCATATTCTCTTGTCCCATGGGGTGTGAAATTAGCTGCTATTGTTTTCCCACATTTTTATAGACACAATGCCTTTTATGTCTTCACATTGTGTACACTGCTATGCTTTTCCCCCATAGACAGGAACAGTCTTTTTCATTCAAATTTTTAAGCAACAGATTTTTAGCTCAGAAACACAGCCACCTTTAAAAAAATTATAATACCACAGGCCATTTAGACAGTGCCTCTAGCTGAGAGCACCAAGCAACAGGCTTAAAATGAGGTGTTTTATTAATTTACAAAATGTTGTTACGTGTCAGCAACTCGGAACTGACTTATAGGAACTCTAATGGGGTTGTCAAAGTAAGTGAGATATTTAAGGAGTGGTTTTACTAGCTCTGCCTTCCATTGAGTTTCCATGGCAGGTCTGAGGAACTGAACCCAGTCTTCTGAGTCCTAGTCCATTATTCTTTCCACTACACCACATTGGGTATCCAATTTACAAAATACATCCAAGCATATGTTAATAAAAGTGAAAATACAACGTAGTTCTTATCAAGTATATAAAGAAATACTGTATCATGGGGGCCAATGTCTTCTCCACCATTACCAGAGAAATGGCAGACCAGTTTGGGAAAATTAAAACAACAACAGTGGCATGTTTAATTCATACATGGAAATTCTATTAGGTCCACCCAAAACAAAGAACTGAAGAACTGCCCATTTATTATAATACTCTTTTTCTAACAGTGATCTGCCAGATATGGACACTTCTTGAAGAAGAAAAGACAGAACTTGGCAGCAAAACTTTGAAATGCACAACTATAGACACAGGTAACCATGAATGTGCCTGTAGTTTGGCTGCATCTTTGCCTCTTTTCAGAAGCTCTTCCTTCCTTCCTTAAGCAAACCGTATTTTTTGCACCATAAGACGCACTTTTTCCCCACAAAACAGGAGGGAGGAAAGTCTGTGCGTCTTATGGAGCAAAGAAAACAGATTGGTGCGTCTTATGGAAAGGTGCGTCTTATGGAGCGAAAAATACGTATATAATGGCTGAAATTCTATGCATGGTTATGTGGAAGGACGTTCTATGAAACTCAGCAGCACATTGATTCTGAGCAGACATACCTAAGGTCAGGTTTCATGTACCCCACTGCCCTCTCTGCTAAAAGAAAACCTGGGCTGGTCTTGTCTTTCCTTCCGATATCAGTTGTTTTGCAGGACATCCTATGACTTATCAACACTACATATATTATCCTGCCCCCCCCAGTCAGATCTAGACAACATATTCTACCTGCAGTTTATACTTCTGCTGTGGGCTTGGTTTGTGTGTACACACACTCAGGCAAGTCTTGCCTCAGCTACATATGGATAAAACACAGCAATCCCAACACTGCTGCAAGAGACTAGTAGGATCCTATTGCTTTGGCCGTACTAGAGGGGAAAAAAGTAGCTAACTCTTTGGTATCCTGGTGGGAGGGCAATCTAGGAAATGTGTGGTTGGATCAGGGCAATCACTGGTTAACTGCAACCATTCCTTTTTTTTAATTAAGCCACAATATTTAATCAAGTGATTGGTCTAATTAACAGATTAATGGGCTGCTTCTACCAGGGGAGTGAGAGCCAATAAGGTGTAGTAGAGTTGTTTGACTAGGAATCAGGAGGCCAGAGTTCAAATCAGCCACAGAAACACACTGGGAGGTGGCAACAATAAATCGCTCCTGGAATAAATCACATACCTTGAATATCCTATTAGGATCATCATAAATTGGATGCAACTTGACAGAACATAGCAACAGGCAGCTCTACTAATAAAGGACAGAATTAGCCCTGCTAATACTAATGGGAATCACGATAGGCATCTGCCACTCAATGCAAACAGGCAAAGACAGGATGGTTACTCCACGGCAGTGTACTACGCCACAGAAAGATGTGTTGACTTTTTAAGCATATGAAGTCAAAACACTGTGCACTTACTTGACCTGCTAACTCCAATCGTTTGTTTCCATAATAATCTCTGTCATCGACTTTATTGTCTCCCTGGGCTAGAATAACTCTGCGGACCATCACAGCTGTATATATGCATTTAGAGCGGAAGTTGAATTCTTTCACCTCGGATAAGGAAAACAGCAGTAAAAATTAGAGGGAAACAACAAAACCCTTCTCAAAAATTATACTAAATAAACCTGCAGCACAGATAAAATGATCTTTCAGGGCTGGAACAATCTCAAGTTTCAGAGAAAAGATTTCACCACTCCATTTAATCTTCTGAAGAGGTAATGAACGTGTCAAAGTAATTGATTTTCAAAAAGAAAAAGCAGTGTTCAAGTGATGGTACCTTATAGGAAAATATCACTAATTGTGGCCAGTATATGAGTACAGTATATGACTACATCTGCACTTTTACCTTTGTGCGTGTATAACTGCAACCCTAAACCCAGTCCTAAATACTGAAGATTAACATGATTCTAATGCTACTTAAAAGAAAACTGTTGTTAAAAAAATCATTTTTATTCATCACAGATTCTAATTTCCCCCCAACGTTCCATTTAAAATTTCACCACACAGGTGTCACCAGTCTCAACCTGCGTTTCCAACATCTTGCCAGATAAACATATCCAAAGAACCTGAAAGCTTGCACAGTATCTAGTGATCTCTGAGTAAAAAAGATATTTAAAATACAGACCTATGAATATCAAAACTAGGAAGCAACTGTCCCTGAATTACCTATCCAAACTGAGTTGGAATGAAGAAGATGAAGATAGTCATCCTCACAGGTTCAATTGCAACAGGGAAAATCCTTTTCTTTGTGATATTCAATCTTAACTGATCCTAAAGAGTGGGAATCCTATCTCCGTTGCCACTAGAAAGTTTAATCCCTGCCTCTCCCCCAACAAGCAGAATTGGGACATGGAAAGCTATTTCACAGTAAAAGAAGTACTGACATACAGGGACATGGGCAAGAATGGTTGTCGCTAGCAGCTCTCTTGCTTCTTCCATCTTAGTTTTCTTGGGTCCTCCCCAAATTCTCTGTCTTCGGACTTTATTCCCCAGATACTTTAATGCCTGTAAAGTGAAAACCAGGCTCATGTTAGTAAATCATTTCTAGTGAGAAGCTTTACTGTCACTTCTCTTTAAGCTTCACTACGTATCATCTTCATAAATTTCTCCTTTCAAGGATAAGATTTACTTTGACAAGGTAGCTGCTGGTCAGGAATACAAAAGAATACAACACAGACCAGTGGTGCAGTAACTAAAACTGCAGTACTTCAGTCAAGCCTGTGCTCACGACTTGAGTTTAATCTTGACAGATTCCGGTACCACCTCAAGAATGACTCAGCCTTCCATTATTCTGAGGCTGGTAAAATGAGTACCCAGCTTGCTGGGGGGCAAAGTGTTGTTTATGTAATTATGTTGTAAATTGCCCAGAGAGTGCTTTAGAACCATGGGGTGCTATAAGTCAAAACAATGAAATAACAACAAATAAACAAGATGCTTCTTCAAGAAAATAACTGATGAAAATGGACTGATCAGTCAGTGACCCTATCTCATTTTTAATCAGAAGGGTTTCAACTCATTTTAGGAGAAAATATATCTCCTAGCAAGATTTTAAATCTTGCATGCGTAGCACCTTCGTGTTCTGGTTACTAGTATTCCAAAGGTTTCAACAATAACCTACTAAAGTTTGAAAAGGTTGAGCACACCAAGACTTTCTATTAACCACGCCAACCAGAGTGGCACTGCCTCTTCTGCCATTAAAGAAATGGAATCTAACAGGAACCAAAACAAGATGAAATAATAGGCTAGAAGTATAAGATTATATCTTGATTTCATGCAATTAATTTGTGTTTTGTACCATTTGTCTTGACCTGCAAGCCACATTAAAGTTCTCTTTCTGATGAAGTGAACAATACACTGTATCTTCAAAAATTCAAATGAGGAGAATATTTAAATATACAGTTCTTAAGGTGTGGTGATACAGCCTAATATTCTTCAATTTCAGACTAAATATTGCATAGATAGGCACTTAAAAGATTATTTTTTTTCCTATAAGGGCAATATACGTTTACATAGAAATGCTGGGAAATGTTGTTTCTTTTGGTTACAACTTTCAGAATTCCCCAGCCCCTAGCTGGACAAGTCTAGATTTTAATCCAAATGAGTAACATCTCTAAGCTCTGCATCTGGCCCACAGTAAACAGAGTACATACCGTATTTTTCACACCATAAGACGCACTTTCCCCCCACAAAGTAACATCTCTAAGCTCTGCTTCTGGCCCACAGTAAACAGAGTACATAGGTTGTACAGAGTACTGGTGGACAGGTACATATCCACCAGAGCATCTTCTGCACCACCCAATTAACACACAAAAGGCAAAAATAAGGTTCATTTTTTTTAAAAAAAATGCATCAGTGGCAAAGGCTTGACCTTATGGAGCGAAGAAAACAGATTATATTTTCCTGTTTTCTTCTCCTAAAAATTGGTGTGTCTTATGGAAAGGTGCGTTTTATGGAGCGAAAAATACGGGTAGGTTGTACAGAGTACTGGTGGACAGGTACATATCCACCAGAGCATCTTCTGAACCACCCAATTAACAAACAAAAGGCAAAAATAAGGTTCATTTTTTAAAAAAATGCATCAGTGGCAAAGGCTTGACATGTTACACACCTGCATCTGTGTGAAAATCTGAGCTTTCTGGCATTCCTCCAAGCTTGGGCCAAATGCAGCCATCACATGCTCCTCTGTACCAATCATCTGCACAATCTCTTGGTCGCTTTCAACACCCATGGCCTGAAAGTGGGAAAGAAATATAAAAGGTAGAATACGGGGAAGAATGTTGCCTTTGTGCTAACTCACTGACATTTGCTTATGCTAATTTGGTATTGTAGTTAGTATTACTCCTAAGCAAAAGCGAGTTTCTTTCAGACACAAGACCATCTGGCACTGGCTCAACACATACTCAAACTGTGGGATGAAAATCTTGATAAGCAGCAGCAGAAGACAAGCCAGGCAGAGTACATTTTTGCTATGCTTCTATTAGTTGGCCAATCACCAACAAGAAAAAAAAAAGTCAGGCCATTTCTTAATACAAACGAATGGCCATTGTTTTGTACCTGACAAATGCAAGCCAGCAGGCCAGCTGAAAAACGACAGGAAAGCAATGGTGTCTTTTATATTTACATATCTGCTTTGAAGTTAGGGAAACATGTCAGATGTTGTTCCAAGCATATGACAAATAGTTCCACCTCCTTGTGAGATTTGCAGGTTACCTGCATCTGCCATGGAATGCTACTGCATGAGGAAAAGGAAAATGGCACAATTGAAATGGTGATGGGTGCTGTTCACTCACTGGTGTGCAGGTGCATAGAATATAACAGCCACAGACATCATGTGGATGCTGCTAGCCATTCAGCAGAAAAATGTCTGCATTGTGATGAGCTCCCCTACTCCCTCAAGCCTTCCGGTGCTTCACTGTGCTTCCTTGAAAAGGCACAGGGTTTCTTTTGCAAGGCTAGTCTCAGCACCTGCCACCTTTGATTTCAGGTTACTTTACAGGGATTCTTAGCATCCTTTTACATCACAGTCTGTCCTAGTCACTTGTATTTATATTACTCCCACTCTGGCTGCATTGCATTGGCTGCCCATTTGATTCCGTGTTGATTTCAAAGTTCTAATGATCACATACAAAGCCCTAAATGGTTTAGGACCTCAATACTTGGCGGAACGCCTCCTCCCACCTAGATCTACTCATATCACCCGATCTAGCCAGGAGGGGCGACTGAGGAGCCTAACACCGAGGGAGGCCCAGAAAGAAAAAACAAGACACCGGGCCTTCTTGACAGTGGTTCCCAGGCTTTGGAACATGCTCCCCCCCCCACAAGATTCATCTGGCCCCCTCGCTGGGCATTTTCAAAAACCAACTCAAGACCTGGTTGTATAGACAGGCCTTCCCTCCAGACTCTACGTAATTCTCTTTCTTTATCTATTCTGTTTTGTGTTAATGTAGGAAACCAATACTTTATATTAATTGTTTTTATTACGCGTTTGTGAGCTGCCCAGAGTAGACTATGTCTAAATGGGCGGCATATAAGCTCAATAAATAAATAAATAAAATAAAAATGTTCCCTTCGCAACAGATTGTCCAGATAATAGAAATACTTTCTATTTCAAAAGCACATAAGTTTACAAAATGTTTCCAAGATTTGTGAATGCATGTTGCACTTCTTTCAGGAGCAAGAGCAGATGTTATATGTCAGAAAAAAAACTAGTGATATCTTGCGTGTTATATCATGCTTATTTCATTGTACTGCCTCCATATCTTTTTCTCATCTGTATCCAAAAAAATCTGGGATGTGAGCTGATTATGGGAACCTGAATTTACAGAAACAAAAATTCAGAAAGAGACAAATCACTCTCCGCAAAATCACTGTAGATGAAAGTATATCTCTGTAATTATTTAGCTGTTAAGTCATGTCCGACTCGTCATGACCCCATGGACCAGAGCACGCCAGGCCCTCCTGTCTTCCACTGCCTCCAGGGGTTGGGTCAAATTCATATTGGTAGCTTTGATGACACTGTCCAACCATCTCGTCCTCTGTCGGCCCCTTCTTCTCTTGCCTTCAGTTTCCCAAAATCAGGGTTTTTTCCAAGGAGCCTTCTCTTCTTATGAGATGGCCAAAGTA